CTTAAATATATATTTTATTTATATATACAGAGAGAGAGCATAGAGTACAATAAGTAACTGAGGGGAAGTAGAACCTTGCAAATTCATAGCCTACAATATTTTCCTTCAATCTTTAAAATTTTTTCCAATTACATTTACTCTACACCCATGTCAAGAAAGTAAGTCTAAAGCCATGAGTATCAATAGCCTGAGGTAGAATAATAAATATTATCCCTTTGGGTAATACTTATTTTTTTTCATTTTCTTTCCAATTTTATTCATTCACTGGCTTTCTTGCTCTTAGAGCAACCTCCATTTCATTCAGATCCTTGTTCTGTTATTTTATAATGGGATATAGTTTTAAGTGTTTATTAAAGTTTTAAAAACACATAGATTAGTGTAATGTAATTGAAAAATGTTGGCATTTCTCTATAAAATTAGTGAACTCCTTTTAATGATTTGTCTTCCAAAATTGCCTTGGGGGAAAAGGAAAGCATTCTTATTTTCCTTGCACTGTTATAATTTAAAATCAGCCCCATGTTTGTGTGTTCAACTTTGTAATCATCTGTCACTCCTGGCAGAAAAGAAAATTAAAGGAACCAATTTATTACAAAGAACAAAAAATGATATTTTTCCTCCCTCCATAGAAATAATATAATGTTCTAGAGTTGCTTTAATATCATTTTCGTATTTTTGCTGCAATGACAGGCATATATTTTCAGGGAGGAACTTTATCTCTTCACAACATCTGCAATGAAAATTCAATTTCTCAGAATCAGATGCTTTATATAGTCCCTAATTCACTGTTCTGTGCTTTGTGGGTATGACTGTTTTTTTAAATCTTCAACTTGAATGGATGATCATCCTCTCCCTCTTTTTCTGCAGGTCACTATCCTCCTGGGGAAGAGCTGAATATGCATCTGCTCATGTTTTAGCACCAAGGAAGGTCAGGGGCTGAGAGAACATTGCTCCATCTCATGAATTTATGGACATATTCTCCATACAAATATTAAGCCTGCAGTTAAGGGTTTAAATAGATAACTTCAGTAAACCTCTCTCTATTATCAAGAATAAACTGTTAATGGATGGTAGAAAGTAAAGATTTGGCCTGCTTTTATGGCTCTGGCAGTAATTAACTGCTTACTTACACCAATATATATATTCAGTGCTTGAGATAATTGGAAAGATACAGAACACTTCTCTCTGCTCTCCCTCGATAAACATCCCTCCACAGCTGCTGAAGGACATATATAAATGTCTGTTTCTTTTAGCCACAATCCAAATGAAGAGAAATGTGTCTATGAACATAGCTTAATGGACAGGTGAATGAAGGTCCAGCCTTAAAAAATATTTCTTTTCACATCTTTCCTGAATTTCCCAAAAGTTATTTATAGACTTTGATATCAAAGACTACCTTTATTATTTTTTTTAATTTCATTGGGTCTCTAGTTTAATAGTGTCAATTCTTGTCAAATTAAACTATTGTTTAAATAAAATTCTAACCAAAATACTAACAAGGTTTGTTGTCTTTTTTCCCCCACAGAATGTGTCTCCTAATCCTAAAATATATATGGATGTATAAGTATTCAAGATGAGTTAAAAATTGTTGGAAGGAAAATAATGAGGGAGAACTTTTTCTATCATAAAGAATTCATATGAAGCAGTCATACTTAAAATAGTGCCGCAGGGAGTGGGCATAGAGAGAGTCCAATGGAACACAATAAAGAACCTAGAAACAGATCCACTGATATATGGTGATTTCACATATGACAGACTAATGGGTAGAATATGAGATGTTAATAAATGATTATGATAATAAGCTTTGCATATAAAAATAATATAAAACCAGATTTCAACTTTAGGTCATACACTAAAATGTACTGCAAGGATGATTAAAATTCTAAATATAAAAAGAAAATCTTTAAATTTTAAAAGAAAATGTATAACTTCTGTACTTAGTACAAAAAGGGAAAAAAAAAAACACAACAAATCATTTTACATTAAAAGGCAACCGGCAGGGGTGCCTGGCTGGCTCAGTGGGTTGAATGACTGAATCTTGGTTTCAGCTCAGGTTATGATCTCAGGGTCCAGCCCTGTGTTGGGCTCCTCCCTCAGCAGGGAGTCTGCTGGAGGATCTTCCCCCTCAGCCCCTCCCCCTACTCATGATCACTCTTTATCTCAAATAAATAAATAAATCTTTAAAAAAAAAGGCAACTGGCATTCTTGCATAAGATAATTTAACAGGGGCATGTGTGCAACTAATATTGAGATTACACAAAGAAGCTCCTACAATGAGTGAGAAAATATAAATCCTTAAATATTCTGAAAACATGTGTGAGCAATCAAGCCACAAATTAGGAGGCCTCAAAGGCTAAGAAACAGAATGATGCTCAGCCTCATAGTAAATAGAGAAAAATCAAATGGAAAACACAGATGGTTATAATTTTATACCCATTTGTTTCCCAGCAATTGAAAAAAGTCTGCTGATAGTAAGTGGTCACAAAGATGAGGAAGATCACCAACTGATGCCATGTTGTTTGGAAGGTAATTTTGCATAACCAACTTTGATGATAATTTTCCCAAATGTAGCAAAGATAATGGTGTGTGTGAATTGCCAGTTGATAATTCTACTTCTGGATAATTAATTAATTAAACCCATTGTTACTCCATTTTTAAGTAGTAGATGTCTTTCTTTGTTCTGGGGCTACAGTGGCTAATAAGATGGATGGATTTTTCTATGTCCAAGAAACTTGCATTTTAATGGGAGAAGACAAATTTAAAAATCAAAACAAATGAATAAACATATATTGTTATAGCAAACTGTAATAAGTGCTCCAAAGAAACATTAAAACTGAGGAAAGGAAATAAATCATGAGGGATGTGCTATTTTAACTTACGTTGATCCAGAATGGCTTCTCTAAGCAAATGACACTTGAGCAGAGATGTGGAGAGAATGATGGAAGAACAAGGTTAAAGACCTGAAGATGTGGGTAGATAGGGCATCCTGTGGTTAGGGCAGGGCTGAGAGGAGGGAGAGAGACAGAACATGATCAAGTCGGACAGACAGATGGACTGGTCACAGACCATGCATAGCTTCTAGGTCACAGCACGTCACTTGCTTTTTAATCTCATTGTTCTAGAAAATTTATTAGAGGGTTATTTCATGCAGGGAAATGTTACAATACGATCAAAGTTTTTGAAAGCTCACTCTGGTTGTTTTCTTGATAACGGACTCAAGAATTTGGGGAGCATAGAAGAGAGACCGCATAGGCAACTAAGCCTGTATTCAACTCTATGTTGTTTAACTTAATAGTTAACACTTAAAACACATCTCAACTCAAACTAGCCACATTTGTGGTCAAAGACCAAGTGATTTGTGCCTACACTATTGGCTAATGCAGCTTTATAGAATGTCTAGCTGACCCATGAACAACATGGGTGTCAGGGGCACTGACAACACACACAGACAAAAGTCCACATATAATTTTTGCCTCCCCCAAAACTTAACTATTTAATAGTCTTCTGTTGGTTGGAAGCCTTACCAATAGCATTAAGAGTAGATTAACACATATTTTGTATGTTGTATGTATTATATACTGTATTCTTACAATAAAGTAAGCTAAAGAAAAGAAAAAGTTAAGAAAATCATAAGGAAGAGAAAATACCTTTGTAGTACTGTACTGTATGGAAAAACATCTGTGTACAGTGTACTTCAAACCCATGTTGTTCAAGGGTTGACCATACTTTCTTTTCCAGTATATGTGGCATGCTGACAGAACCTTGATTCTGTTCAACATGTCATCAGCTTTAAGATGCCATTAATTGAAAGGCATATCATTATTTTGTATACTATGAAGAAAGACAGTGATGACAGATAATTAAACTATGACACAATTTCAAAAACCACTGGGTGTACTACCCAAGAGTATTGACAGAAAATACATGAGTGTCAGAAAGAATAAAATCCTAGAGATATTTTATCAGGATTCCTTCCATTGTAGTTGACAGCAGTCTATTTCAAATGGGCTAACAAATAAAAGGTAACATATTTGGTCATGTGAACAGGGGTCCAGAGGTGCTGCTGGCTTTATCACAGTTGGAATGAGGTATTCAGATGATGGTACTGAGGCTCTGTCTACCTTACTCTTAGATAGGCTCTCTACTTGATGAGCAAGATGATCAACGTCATCCATCTTCTGTCCTGCCAGCGTTATCGACCTCAGTGCAGAATCTTTTTCTAATACGTGTAAGAGACAAATCCCAGAGTTATTCTGATTGGAGTTTATCATGTCCTTACTATCAGTCATTCACTGTGGCCATGATATCGAAGTTCTCTGATCAGCCAAGTCTGAGCAATGGGTCCCCTCCCTGTAGCTGACTGGGTAAAGGGCAGAATCAGCCCCTTCCACACAAGAAGGAACTGAACCTCCAATGTAAAGAGCATCTAAGGGAATAAAATAGCAGATAACCACTAAGAGGAAGTCACACATACAAATAAAATCTCAACAAGTTTTGACTCATATTCTCTGCTCCTAGCAGTATTAAAAATGTAAAAATAAGTAAGATAGTAAAGAAATAAAATTCTGTATTACAAATTTTTCCAATTATTAGAAGTTAAAATGAGGGCAACTTTCATATCTACTGGGTCAATGGGAAGATCAAAATTGTATATCTAGACTGTTTAGTAATAATGCTTCATGTTCAAAGCCACCTTCAGTTCTTAATCCTTAGGAACATATTTGATGCATACTGTTAATTTACAAACAAATATTAATTAAAAAGCAACAATACAAAAGTCATTCTTTTGGTCTCTATGGAGATTGAAGAAACATGAAGCCACAACTCAAGTCTTAGGCAAGCTAAAATATTATATGAGAAAAAACCCCAGATGTATGACTATGAAAATTTAATTAGCACATAAGTAGTTAAAGACAAATATTAAGCAAAGAGAGAAAATACAAAGAGAAACATGATTTCTTCCTAAACAAGTAGTTTCCAGATTCAGAAGGCATGTTGCTCACCCCACCAAAGATCTCATTCTTCAGTCAGGCTTGTTGTGTCCTCTGGAATGGGGTGATTTTCTGCAGAGCAAGGAGCTGCATGTTCTAACACTTCCTCCAGCCAGGAACTAGGACAACAGATGACAGTCCAAAACCGTTGGGCATTTGTGCTCAAGTGTGAAGGATGAGGGAGGATGTGAAATTGGCTTTTAACCACTTTTCTCCCTTCAATATAAGTGAAGGTTAGCAGAAGCCTTTAGAGTTCTCAGAATACATTTAGTCCTGAAATTGTTTGGTTGGGCAATCTAGGCACACACATTTTCATTTTCTAAGGCAGAGGTCCTGAGTCTGTGCCAGCTATATTTGAGATTTCACCTTTCTGTTTTAGGCCTTTGTTTCTTTCATCCACTTTCTACCCCATCATTTATATGATTATCCCTTAAATACAGATTTGTTGGTCTAGTCTATTAATCATCAGTGTAATACAGTCTAAACAGAGAGAAAAACAAGTCTCAGTCTCTTCCCCTGGAAACTTACATGAAGAAATAGGGACAAGTATTGTCAAAAATTAAGAGCGATCAAAGTAATTATTTTTTAAAGAAGTACAGTAATTAGGCACAGCTTACTGGGGGGGATATTTAGGAACTACGGAGAGAAGGCTTTTCTCACAGCTAACGGAATTTAAGAAGGCTTTAATAGGCTGACAATCTCTGGTACTTAAATGCTGAAGAAAATCTCTAAATATAGGTCAGAGTGTCACAGAATCTTGGCCAGAGGGAGAACTGTCGGCGAGGTTCTGGAAGTGTGGAAGTTCTTGACATGTAGGTAGAGTGGGGAGTCCTTCACTGAAGCTGGGGTTCAGGTCTTGCACTCACGCTATTGCTTCATACTGTGCCTGGAACTTGTACGCATGACAGTGAATATGCTGTGTCCACTGTGAGCTTTGTTTGTTTTTCTTCCTTTTTCTTCTTTTGCATGGGTCTATTTCAGGAAATGTCTCTAAAAACACAGTTCAAATAAATTCTCTCTTTCTCATTCCTTTCTGTTTGTGTAAAGGACCAGAAAGCCTTGGTGCTAACCAGTTCCACGGGGTACCAAGGGAGGCTGCCATCTGTTACATGGGCCCGGGAAATGGCTGTAGGACTCTCCCTTCTGGAAACACTTTGCCTTGGTTTATGGCTATTTATTCTGTGAGCACCACAGAGGACTATTTCAGGCTAATTATTCCAGTGGATTGAGACTTCAAGTTATAGACTCAGCTGTTAACATAATGGAAGAGGACAAGGCAAAGTGCTGGTCATTGGAAAGGAAGGCACATTCTTCTCTCTTTCTGGCAAAAGAGGATCCTTGGCGAGTTGGCCAGCTGATAGTAACAGGATTCCACCACGCCTTTCAGCACCTTGTTTCCAAAGCATACCAAGCTGCCCCCACATATGGCACAGAGCAACATTAATGAGTCTCTTTCCTTAAGAGAGAAATTAACTAACTCACTTAATGCTTTGCAGCATACCAAGTGATTCCCAATATATAAACCTATTTAATTCTTACACAAACACAGGAGATTGGAAGAAATGTTCTAAGTCAGGAGCCCTGAATATATGTTTTGCTTCACTGCATGAACTTAAGAGATTTTTAACATCTTCATGTTTAAATAAGAATATTAGACTATGCAAGTGTCTCAAGACTGCTTCGAGAATTGTATGAGACAACACATTCTAAAATGCTTCATAAAATGTTATTTATTTTTTTAAAAGATTTTTTAATTTATTCATCTGAGACACAGAGATAGCAGAGAAAGAGAGAGCATGAGCAGGGAGAGAGGCAGAGGGAGAGGGAGAAGCAGGCTCCTTGCTGAGCCAGGAGCCCAATGTGGGGCTGGATCCCAGGACCCTGGGATCATGACCTGAGCCGAAGGCAGACGCTTGACCATCTGAGCCACCCAGGTGCCCCAAAATGTTATTTATTTTTAAAGATCCCTTGAAATGCTGTGGTAAATGTTGTTGGTGCTACCAATATCTATTCCCATCAATTTCCTCCCTTTTTGTGTGAGATGCTGTATCTCTAAAGTCCTTGCAGATAGGCAGGGCCATGTAACTAGTTTTGGCCAATGACATGTGAGCAAAAGGGATACTGCCAATTTTAGGCTCAGGCAGTGAAAAGCCCTTGCAACGATTCTCACGTTTTCTTGCTCCTAATGCAAGAAAGAAGGCCAGGTGTTCTCGATGGTGGAGCTGTAGGATGTGGGAACTTCTCCCACCTGAATGTCTGAGTAGTTATGAGTATGAGTCATGTTCTAATCTAGAGTGAACAGACATTCCCTGAGCAAGAAATATTTATGGGTGGCAGTCATAAATGGATGCAGTAGGACAGGAGTTCAATTTAATTCCACACATTATTTTCTCTCTCTTTCTCTTTTTTCCCTGAGTTTCTGTAAGACATGTTCTGACATATTCAAAAGCAGAGGGAATATAATAAACATGTACCCTTCACCTAGCTTCAATAATCATTAAGTCATGGACTGTCTTATTTTAACAATACCCCCCAAACTCCCCACTAATAGCTTGATTCGAAGCAACCCCTGGTATCACCTCATTTTATCTATAATATTTCACTGCATACCTCTAAAAATATGTCTCTTCTAAAGCATGATTAAAATACCACATGACATCTAAAAAATATGATACCATTTTCTTAATACCCTAAATATCATATCCAGGCAGGGTTCAAATTTCTTCTATCACCTCTTATATTTTTACTATTTGTTTCTTGTTTTAATAAGGTTAAATTAATGTTCACGTACTGCAAATACTCAACATGTCTTTTATGCATTTTTAAAACTTTATAGGTTTTCCTCCAACTGTTTTTTTATTTTTAAATTTTTTTTGGTAAAGTCTATGTTTAATATGGCAGTTCATTTTTCCTTGGATAGTCTCATAAAGTGAATTTTGCTGACTGAACATATGATGATTTCTTTATTATGTCCCTCTACACCCTGTATTTCTCCTAAATCAGTATTAGGTCCAGGAACTTGATTAGATTCAGTTTAGGTTTTATGGTCTGACCACTTCACAGCTAGTAAACTGTATTTCCACCGGAATGCACACATTGCCTTATCATCTCATTTGCTGTGACATTAATAGCTACTGATGACCATTGTCTCAATCTATTATTGAAGTAGAGGTTGTAAATGTTAATATTTTAATTTTATCATTATTCCAATATATATTATCTACAATACCTCTGAAATAAAAATAACCTATATCCCATCAACACTTCGGTTATCTTGAGGTACAGTTTGACAAGGGAAAACAGTTGAGATAATTGATTTTCAAAATAAAGACTAGGTTTCCTAGCTTCTTGCTAAGGTGGCCAATAATGTTTTTCTCTTGTTTGCTTTATAGAAATTATGCATTTATTGATTCAGGTATCTTTGGTATGTATTTCAATGTGGGTTTCCAAGATATCATACCCTAAGGCAATAGCTTATTTGCTACTATTTTATTGAAGAATGATCACATATGCAGAAAAACAGTAGCAAATTTACATACTTTTCTCTACCTTTTATTAGAAGAGTTTATCCAAATATCCCTCACTCATATCTGCATAGTACTCCACTGTGTAACTACCATATTTTTTTCCTACTATCCCTGGTGGACATTTGGGTTACTTTAAGCCTTTTGCTATTGCAAATACTGCTCCAACAAGTAGATCTGTATATACAACTTTTCATATTTTTGGCAGTGCACCTTAGTGATAGATTTTTGCTGGTGAAATCTCTGGCTCAAAGAAAAAAATGCATATCTAATTTTGCTAGATATTGCCAAATACTCTTCCATAGCACACATATCCTTTGGCATTGCTATCAGCAACGTATGAGAGAAATCTGTTTCCCCACAACTTTGCCAACAGAATATGTTGACAATCTCAAATTTTTCCCAAAAATATTACCATCAAGAAATTCTGTCTCATGTAGTTTTAACTTTCATTGCTCTTAAGGTCTTTTCCTGTTTCAGGACCACTTGATTTCTTTGTCTTGTTTTATTTTCTTTTTTAAATGTGAACTGTTCTTATTTCTTGCACACTTTTCTTTCAGTTTGTTGAGCATTTTCTTCTTCCTTTAGAAACTTTTTTCTATTAGGGTTATTCATATTTTAAATAGGTTGTTAGAATTTGTTACTGGAAATTCTGAGGTCAATCTGATTTTCGTTCCCTTATAAGTAGTTTTTTTTTTTGAGGAGCTGGGGTGTGCCCCCAATTTTTTATTATTAACTTTTAAAGTCCAGTAAAGTCAGGGCACCTGGGTGGCTCAGTTGTTTTAGAGTCCGACTCTTGATTTTGGCTCAGGTCATGATCTCAGGGTCCGGAGATCCAGTCCCATAGCAGGCTCCATACTCAGGGGGAGTCTGCTTCTCTTTCTCTCTCTTTCCCCCTTCCCCCTCCCCCCCCACTCGTTCTCTCTCTCTAAAATAAATAAATCTTAAAAAAAATAAAGTCCAGTAAAGTTATTTGAAAATATTAGTGCATGTTTTTAATATATAGATTCAAATACTCTTTATTTCAGGAAAGTTTTATTAAATTATGCTTTAAATATGTTCCCTCTTTCATTGCTTCTGAATTCTTTTGGAACCCCTATTTTATACATCTGACTTTCTTTTCAATTTCCTAAATCTCTCACTTCTTCCACATCATTTTAATCTTCTTCTCCATTTAAAATTTGTCTTCTACATTTACATTTAGTTGAGGCATTATTTTTAATATTCCTTGGATCTTATATTCCTTATAATCTTCCATTCTGAAATAATAGATCGATTCTTCTTTCTTTAGCTCTATCACCTCTCCTTTCAAATTTTTTTAAGTTTTGAACAGCAGGCTAAATTCTTTTTAGAGGATGACATGTGCTTTTATTGTACCTTCATTCAACTTCTTTTTCTTTGTCCATATTTAAATCAGATGGGTTTTATTTTATTCTCAAGAAGAAAGGTTAGACCAGGATAGCTTTCCTAGATTCATGATTCTGTAGTTTCTTCTCATGTTGCTAACACAAAATACCCAAAAATTAAGCCCTATGGTTTCTGAGATCTGCCTTCTCAGCTCCCCATCCTGCCTCCATTAAGGTTTCTCTTTCTTTTGCCTCTAGTATCTCAGTCTTAGCTAATTAAGATTCTGTCCCTAAGAATTTCCTTTTAGTTCAGGGTTCTGTCTTGGAAAGCACTTGGGTCCTTAGCCTCAAATATATTCCTAAGACACTGATTT